CTCTGATTGGTAAAAATCGGATCCCTTTTAATGCATTGTTGTAACTCTCAGAAAGGTCGGTTGTCTCTATGCCCCAACAGCGACGACCGGCTTTCAATCAAGTCCAATTACTCCCTCCAATCCCTCGAAGATACTCCCGTGCCGCAGGTTTGAATTCAATAAGCTCTGCCCTCATACAATTGTATTTTTGTACTGAAAGTGTCGTGCCCATATTCCAACATGACCACTTCACCTTTTTGCTATTATGTCACGACACAAGATTGCTGTGAACGTGGCGGAAGCAATAAAAGTGGCCACCATCTCCTAAATCACGCCATTCATCCATCTGTGACATTGCGCTCAACAACCTTGCATTCCGGTCAGATATCACACTTACGATTGTATCCTGCACAACATAATACCTTAAATTTCTCATAAAAAATTTCCAACTCTCTACTGTCTCATCATCTACAATCGCAAATATAACCGGGAAAATGTGCCTGTTTGCAGTATAGACGACCGCAACAAACAATTTACCCTTGTATCCTCCACACAAGTGTGTTCCACCGATACCAATGACCGGTGGACATTCACGAAACATCACAGCCACTGGTACAAATGACCAGAACACGTATTTAAATGTTCTGTTTCCAATGTTCCAACCTTCTTCTCCCTTCTTCCATTCCCACTCTACTACAGTCTCGGGATTAGTAAACTTAAGTGCAGCGATATAACTACACAAAAAACGAGTCATAGTTACAATATTTCAATATATATAACCCAAAAAAAAATAATACACATAATAATTACAAAAGTTGATATTTTACCTAGGAAGTTCTTCAAAATTCGAGGTCCAATCGCCATAGACCGCTTCTATGGCTTTCTTCCTCCCGTGCCACACCATTTTGCATGGCACATCTACTTTCAATAAGGTCTTCACATCTTTTTGTGCTGAGAGAACTGTATAATCTACGTTGTCCTCAATCTTTCTCCTGATGAGTCTAGCAATCAAAGACGCGTCTACACACCAATTGTCATTATCATTCATGGGAGTCATGCAATTATGTGCATCATGCCATCTCACAATTTCATGAAGGCTGTGATATTTCAAAGACACACGCATCTTTCAATTACATGGTGGATCACCATCCTCACTTGGTTCATCTAATGTCCTACATTGCACCACCCACGTCTTTGGACTACTCGAGACAAGCCTATATTCTCTTTTATGATGGATGTTCCACAATTTCATAGCATGTTTCGCTTCTGATTGGGACTTGAAACAAACATTAATGTCCATTCCTTCAGGGGTCTCATCCCACATCTTAAGAGCAAACTCATCCTTGTCCACACACGAGGCATCCTATTTCCCCATTTTACTATATACATGGCCCCAAGCAATGGATTAAGGTCCCTTTCCTCATTTTGCAGTAAGTCATCATCACTTTCCTCTAAATCAACATCTAAAAAGAACTCACGGTCTTCTTCGCTTTTGCTTAGAGATCTGTAGTCGGAATCCTCCTCTTCCATGTAGTCATATTGTGCAAATAAAGGTGTCTCCTCTTTATCATAGTTTTGAGAAGTACTAGCACGTTCCCTCCTTGGAAAACCACCCTCCATGTTGTTTTCCAAACTCGCTGCTCTTTCTTCGTGAGTGATATCTTCCAAATCTATGTATAAATACAAACATGACATTAGAGCTACACGGTTCATGATTTCTACATGCAAATCATTCTTGATCTTCACTACACGCCTACCACCATGTTACGGGGTGGCCTTGCCCCCCCTTATCCGTGTTGAGTCTCGCAAGAAAGACGCCCTGCTGTGTTTGCACCTGCTTGGGTAGGGGCTCGGCCTAGCGTTAAGGGGATGTTGCATGCCTTAGCGGCTTTGGCTCTGCGGAAGAGTTAGGCTTTGAATCCACAGATCTATGGGGCTCATGCGGGGGAACACTGAGAGAGTTATGGGACTCTGCTTAGATGTGGGGCTAGAGTGTGATTGAGGGTTTAACTGGTGGGGAGCTAGTGTCATTCCCCTGATGAGCTCAAGGCAGGGCGATACCAGTTCAACACGCGATGAGAAGGTTGAGTCTTGAGGAAAAGGAAGAGAACCTCAGGACTATCGCACGGGCGTAGTAGAGAAACGCCGGAGTTAGCCCATGTCAAATGGTACCAGAGTGGGTACCCGAGCACAATTGCTGCGTATCACTCGTTAGGGGAGGACCCCGACGTGCAGGCTATTCGAGAGGGCACGGGAATGACTGCGCCACCAAGCATCTGTCCCCTCCCGAACGGCCTACACGTCGTGGTCCTCCCCCAACGGGTGATACGCAGCAATGGTGTCTGGGTATCCGTTCTGATACCATTTGACATGGGCTAAGTCCGGCGTTTCTCTACTACGCCCGTGCGGCAGTCCTGAGGTTCTCTTCCTTTACCTCAAGACTCAGCCTTCTCATCACTTACTGTACTGGTTTTGCTTTGCCTTGAGCTCATTAGGGGAACGACACTAGTTCCCGACCAGTTGAACCCTCTGCCGCACTCCAACCCCACATCTAAGCAGAGTCCCATAACTCTCTCGGCATTCCCCCGCATGAGCCCCATAGCTCTATGGGTTCAAAGCCTAACTCTTCCTTTGGGACAGAGCCGCTAAGGCATGCAACATCCCCTTAACGCTAGGCCGAGCCCCTACCCAAGCAGGTGCGAACACAGCAGGCGTCTTTCTTGCGAGACTCAACATGGATATGGGGGTGCAAGGCCGCCCTGTAACACACCAGGACTATTGAAAATTACAGAAAGGTGGAGTTTCACGTGTGTTGGATCCCAACCAAGTGTCATACAAATCTTACTAATCAATTCAACATATGGCAACCTTTCCTCAACAAACAAGGCATGGTCCGACAAATTCAAAAAAGTGTTGATGATACCATTCTCCATCACACACTTACTTGTATGAAACAACTAAAGCATCTATGATACATTACATTCCATTTATAATTGTTTTTAAAAAAACCCATCAATATCTAATCATTTCTTAAACAAATATTTATGTCTTTCAATAATTAGTCCTCCTATACTCGATTACATTTTCAAAGTTTACATTACAGTGCTAATAATACTTCATACACAATAAAATAGCATCATTGAAGTTAAACTATCACGTATAATAGCAAAATCAACAAATACATCATACATACTCCATTCTAAATTCAGAAAACTTATAAAATCCTAAAATACTTAGACATCAACTTCCGTCTCTGATGAAATATAAAGAAAAGCAATGATTTCTCATCTCTAACCTCAAAATCAACACCTAAAACCTACATTTCTTCAAACATCCAAACAATCAACAAACAAAAACCCTAATCTACCATACATCATTCTAACAATATAAATAATACAAAAATAAACTAAGTAAGATGGTTTTACTCACTAACCTCTTTCAAATAATGATTCCCCACGTATTTAGCTATAAGGTAGTTCAAAAACTCCAAATCGCCACCCAAGAGCCGCAGAATCAAAATACAAACTTTCAGTTCTCGATTGAGAACTGTCTGTTCTTTTTTTCTTTTATATTCCGACAACCTCGAATTTCTGAAATCCTAATCAATAAGTAATTCGGATTTTTGTAATCCGAATCAATGTAAGATAGGATTTTGCAAATCCGAGTTTCTTCAATTGTGGAATTTTTAATTCTATTTTTTGATACTCCAATTTATGGCAGCTGCCTACTTCTACCAACCAAAATTAAATAAACACGGATTACGGAAATCCGAATGTGTCAAACCAGATTATACAAATCCGTTTAACAATTCAAAAAATTCATCCCACAATTTTCCGTCAAATATACTTTATCTTATTGAATTCAGATTATAGAAATCCGAATGTTAATGTTAATATTCTGACCACTGTATTTTCAAAAAATAAAAATACCTATTATTTTAATATTATTTTTGGATTTGGATTTTCTAAATCCGATTGTTTAATTTTAATCCGCATTCAGATTTTCAAAATCCAGGGGACATATATATATATATATATCCACATATATTTTCAAAAAATTAATTTTGTCTACCTTTTTTTAAGAAATTTTTTTAGGGAAAAGACCCCATTTCATTTGGTAGATGTACTCTTTATTGATGAGACTTTAGCTAACTATGAGCAGCAAAGTTTCTTTTATTGCGAGATGACATTTACAAACTAGCTAAGCGTATGAATGAACCTAGTAGTTATTGTTCCTATTATGGATTCCTTATGGATCTCATGTTGTAGCTGCTGCATATGCTTTTTCGATGATAGAGAGTAGACTGTTATTTATTACTATCTCCGCCTCACAAAAATAGTCCACATTGAGTTTTCAAATTTGTACTAAAAATAGTACAATTCAAAACTCAATGTGGACTATCTTTGTGGGACGGAGGAAGTAGTTAATAGTTGCTGAGATGAGTACATGTTTATTTTTCCACAGATCAAGTATTTTGAATTAGGATTTGACATGTTTATTGAAAATGCTAAGTGCAGCCAGAAACTGAAGTGTCCAAGTAGCACTGATTGCGTGTACGGTGATCTTTATTGGTGCATCATCAGTCCAGAAGAAATTTGAGTGGAAAGTTGAAATTCATAGAAGGTTGCAGTCAGGAGTATGGATTGTTGGATTTGAAATAATTTTCCAATTTCCATACATGAGTCACCTGGTTTTTGGAGAGTTTGAATAATGACTCCTGGGGTCTTAGGATTGAGCCTTTTTAGTGAAAGCAACCTTTGAAGAATATCGTTGATCAATATGGCTCATTACTTCTTCAGTGTGCTAAAACATATTCTTGAACTGACAGAACTCAATTTACAGTTCCTAGCTAAAAGCACAAAAAGATAAGCCTGGAACATGAACAAAATTCCAAAGACAAATCTGGCTTCAGATAAATTCAAAACTAAGTTGAAAATGGAAAACATGAAACTAGAAGAGGACACATGAAGGACTCATGAAAGATGGTATGACAGTTTTGAAAGTACTTTTAAAGGGAAGGTTCATACAATTTGTTGTACGATCAAAAGAAGCTGATTTGTTCTTGATGCAGTTATGCCAACAGTCTCTCCCATGTCTAAATCTTTCGGGCTGAGGCCATTTGGGAGTTTCCAATCAAAATGGTTGAGTAATAAGGCTAATGGAAGATAAACATTGGCAAGGCCAAATGTCATTCCAGCGCACATCCTTCTTCCAGCACCAAATGGTATAAGCTCAAAATGGTTTCCTGCGAAATCTGTAGCACTGTTTTCAAATCTCTCCGGTTTGAAACTGCCAGGATCATCCCAATACTTGGGGTCTCTCCCAATCGCCCAGGCATTAACAAAGACTCGGGTTTTGACTGGGATGATATAACCATCAATCTCAGTTTCCTCCCTGCTTTCTCTTGGAACCAAAAGAGGAACTGGAGGGTGTAACCTGAGTGTTTCTTTAACAACTGATTTTAAGTATGTCATCTCTTGAATGTCAGCTTCTTCAATTGTTTTCTTTCCCCTGCAAGCTATCCTTACCTCATTCTGTAGCTTGGCCATAACCTCAGGATGCCTAATCAACTCGGCCATTGCCCACCCCACTGTTGAGGATGAAGTTTCAGTTCCTGCTGCGAACATATCCTGCAAAAAATTGAGATTTGTGTTGTAAATAACTGATGTTAAACATCTGTGCATCCACAATTTGTGCTGTACTAACCACTTACTATCATAACAGCCTTGATGTTATCCTTCGTAATTGAAAGTTGAAGGTCATTGCTGTTCTTGACTCTCAGTAGAACATCAAGTAGATCTTCGTCACAAGTTTTTGATGTTGCTAAGTTTTTGTTGAGGTACTGATCAATAATGTTGTCCATCACTCTGTCGAGCTTAAGGCGGATCTTCATCAGTCTACTCTCCATGGAAAAGAAAGGATGGAGGATCTTTAGCGACGGAAAGAGATCAGAAATTTCAAAGGCACTGCAAAGGGGCAATGCTTCCTTGACTAGCTTTAAGAATGCATGGTGATCATCTTTGCTAACTTTCCCAAATGCTGCTCTGACCACCATGGAACTAGTGTAGTGTGCCAGTTTCTCTGTCAAATTAACTGGTGTAGAATTGCAAGCTAGAGCTTTGATCGATCTGATGAGATTCAAAGCCTCCTCCTGCCTTATCAAGTCATATGACCGGACATTTTTAGCTGTAAGGAGTTCCAAAGTGCAGATTTTGCGCATTTGTCTCCAATACTCGCCATATGGAGCACAAACAATATCTGTAAAGTTGTAGCCCAAGATTTTTGCAGCCAGGAGTTCAGCTCGATCAGCGAAAGTGACATCTTGAGTTCTCATGATCTCTTTGGCTAATCTCGGAGATGATACCACAATTGCAGGAATCTCCCCCAGCTGCAAGTGAATCAGGGGACCATACTTCTGAGATAACTTTTTGAGAGCATGATGCGGTGGAGACCCCGTCAGATGGTGCAAATGTCCAATTATCGGTAACTTCCATGGTGATGGAGGTAGCTTTTCCCCTGCTGATTTGGATTGCTTCCGAAGCAGTAATATTGAAAGAAATGCGACAGCAACGGTGAAGAAAATGAAGTTGATCAGGAAAGTTTCCATGTATAAGGTGATCAGGCTTCAGGCTTGCAATGAATGTTGACATTGAATGCATTATTATATGGACGAGGTTAATGTAATTGATGTGGTTTTAATAGTACTTCATAAAAAAACAAGAAGTACAGAAGGAATATTTCTTAAGAAGAGATTCCTTTAGAGAGTTTACGTATTCAATATAAAGCAGGCCACCAAAAGCCTTTGTCTGGTATGGAGTTTGGTGATGTTTCTCAATCAGAAAACTTTCCTACCTTTTGGGGCCAAAATGGCGGTCATGACTTCATCATTCTTGGTTTCCGAATAGAAAATACAATCAGTATCAACTATTACATCTAGACTAAAAGTATAGTTTATGAGACAGACATCGTTTCTGTTCCGCTTTGTTATAGTTATTTCTTGGAAAGTTTTGATAATTCACAAGTTAGTAACCATCCATGTTCGCATCATTACAAGCTTTTCGTGTGTGAACTACATGGAAAGGAGAAAATTTACTGTACTGTTTAACCATTTTCTTAATGTGGTGAATTGTGGTTTGATATTGGCAAAAAACTTTCGATCTTAAAAGACGCTCGCATGGTGTTGAAATGCTTGGGGGCATCCGATGGGTCTCTTGGCTCGTGGAATGGCACAATTCTTTGGTTTTTAGTCATAATTATTGTAGCCAAGTAGGCAGATTCATAGAGCCATTTCCAGGCACAAGCCTCGTTCACAGCAGGGTTGATCTGTGTATTGACAAAAAGGCTTGAGACCTATAGTCAGTGATCTTTGAAGAATATTGGAGATCTTTTGGCCTCATTGTTTGTTTGGTCTGCTCTTTGATTAAAAAAGAGTACTATGTCTCTGAGAATCCACGTTCTTAAGGCTAAAAGCACGCAAGGATGTGCCGCGGAACAGGAACAAAATCATAAAAGCACTGCTGATGAGCTTTAACTATCAGTAAGCTGTGATATAGTTCAAAATTTTGATATGTAGGTTGACATTGCAACAAACCAATCGGCACTAAAATAGTAATGACCCATAAATGCCCAACTGTTGACACTATAGTATAGCAGTAGTTCTCAACTACTCAAGTCATTACAAACTCTTCAGAATTTTTATATAACCATCAATCTCACGTTGCTCCCCTGCTTTCTCTTGGAGCCAGCAAAGGACCTGCAGGGTGTTTGTTTAACCACTAGCTTTTAGGTATCGAATGCCAGTCTCATCAACTGTTGTATTTTACTTGAAAGCTACCGTTCTCTCATACTGTAGCTTGGCCATTACTTCAGGATGTATAATCATCTCTACCATTGCCCATTCAAGTGTTCAGAATGAAGTTTCAGATCGCCAGTAGAAGTATTCCGCATGAATTGAAACTTTGTAATCACTTATTGAATGTATGCGAAAACCTGAACTCCGTAAAGAAAAAATAATAACAATACCTTTAGGTACAGAGACCGAAGAATAGAGTTCATTGGTGCTTAGTCGTTGCTTATCAAGCATATGCGGCAAAATCCCTATCAGGATGCATATGCTTATTGCACTAACTAAGCTGAAGGTGATTCCAATCCTTGGCTCTCAGTAGAACATCAATTAGATTTTTGATATGCTCATAATTTACCTATTTATTATATCCCTAATTTGTGATTTTTGCAATATATTTTGAGTACAAATATGCTATTTATGTGATTTTATCTTTATTTGCAGGTTTTGTACTCAAATGGAAGAATTGTTCAGGTTGTGGACTAAATTGGAAAAGAAAAAGCAACTCAAAGGGAGAATTGAAGATTTGTTAAATTGACAAGAAAGAAATTGAAGCACTTAAACAGTTGGAGGAGTTTTAATTTAAATTGAAAAAATAACTTTCTTATTCCTGAAGAAATAGGATTTGACGAAAACCTATAAAAGAAGGATTATGATTTTATTTTTGAGAGAGACTTAAAAAAAGAAACCCACGCAGCCCGCAGCCACCTCTCCTCCTTGCTCCACTCCCACACACCACTTTAATTGGTCTCCACCACCAAACATCACCTTCATCATCATCATCCATCAGCCTCACTTCTTCTCTCAACGCACCACCACCGACCATCACCTTCATCATCATCATCAACGCCCAAACTCTTCTCCACGCCACCATTCACCACACCAAACCCAGGCACATCATCGGAGGAGGAAGCAAGCAACTTCGGACTCAATTTTTGGCCGATTTCTCCCGGATTTCATTGTTTTATTTATTTTTGAGATGATGTGTAGCTAAATTATTTAATCTAGAGTTTTGGATGTAGACGCCGTACTATTTAATTTAATTTTATTCATTATTGTGACTTTTTCATTAGTTGATATTTAATATTCTTGTTTTTATTCCATGTGAGTATTTGATCACCACTTGCATGCTTTAAAGGTATTTAACTGAAGGAACGACGGATGAAGGTTGGCACTAGTTCATGGGAATATTAAACTTAGATAGTGGGCCACGAAAGTAGGAACACCGTCTTTGCATCTATAGATTCTAGGGTTCTTAATGTACTTTAATTAAATCCTATAGTCACGGCATTAGTCATAGGGTTAGTTTGAGTAAGAGAATTATATCAAAACAGTGAATAGTTCTTAAATAGGTGAATCGTTGTGAGATTAATGAAAGTCCAAAGTCACATATCTATATGTTGAGTTAAACTGAGTAGTCGGTTGATGAACCCTTTGCCCTAGGTTTTTCTTTTACTTATTTATATCTTTAAATAATTGCAATTGTTAGTTTTAGGTTTAGAATAGTTTAAAATTGATAAATTGTTAATCTAAATAATAATAAGAAATTATTTTAACCTGGTACTTGGTAACCTTCTTTGTGGGATCGACCTTGCTTGCTACTTTACTACTAGTAATTGTATTAAGTAGGTAATTAATATTTGACTACTGGTGACGACGGCTTGTCAAATTTGGCGCTGTTGCCGGGGAAGGCAGCTAATGTCAAATTTAGATTACTTTCTTTTATTAGTTTAAATTTTTATTTTATTTTACTTTCTTTCAAATATTTTTGTCTTGTTTTTATATGCGAAGTGCTAATCCTCAGACTTTGCAATTTGATCAAGAAATTGAGAGAACTGCTCGTGCGAATAGAAAAGAAACAAGGCTAAGAAAGGAGAAGAATCAGAGTGAAACCATGGGCGATAGAATTCAGATACTGAGGGATTACTTCACACCTATGGAGAATGTTGCTAGGTCAAGTATTACTAGGCCTACCATTGCTGCAAATACCTTTGAGCTCAAGCCCGCATTGATACAGATGGTGCAGCAGAATCAATTCTCCGGTTTTAACAATGAGGATCCAAATGCGCATATTGACAACTTTTTGGAGATCTGTGATACTATTAAGATAAATGGTGTGACGTCAGATGCAATCCGGCTGAGACTTTTCCCTTTTTCACTGAGAGGAGAAGCGAAGAATTGGTTGAATACTTGCGATCCTAGTTCCATCACAACTTGGGATGAGCTGTACAAGGAGTTCCAGATCAATTTCTTCCCACCAGATAATGCAGCAAAATTGAGAAATCAAATTACTGGGTTTATTCAAGAAGATGATGAGACATTTCATGCTGCATGGACAAGATTCAAGGAATTGCAAAGAAGATATCCTCACCATGGTATTGAGAAAAGTATTCTAGTCCAGACTTTCTATCAAGGATTGACATACTTTGCAAGAAACAATGTGGATGCTGCAGCTGGAGGTTCATTAATGGATAAGTCAATTGATGAAGCCTATGAATTGTTTCAAATTATGGCAAAGAATACGAATCAATGGTCGAACTCAAGAAGTGTTTCCAACAAGCCTACTGGAATGTATGAAGTCAATGAACTAAGTGCCATGAACGCAAAGATAGATGCACTGACTAAGGCGATGGGTAATTTTGTCAATGCTAATGCAGTATGCCATACCATTGTCTGTGAGTTTTGTGGAGGCCCTCATTTGAGCTCTGAATGCATGCAACTGGCAAGTACACAATATGTTTCAAACTTCAGCAAGCCTCAGCAACAGAACAATCCTTACTCCAACACCTACAATACTGGGTGGCAAAATCATCCAAACTTTTATTAGAATAATGAAGGGGCTCAAGACTTTAATGCAAGACCTCAAAACCCTCCTGGTTTCCAAGCAAAGTCATACCAATTTGCACCTAAGTCAGCAACGGAGGCAAGTTTGGAGAGAATGGAGAAATTGTTGAGTGAAAACAATGAACGGTCTAACAGAATAGAAGCAAGGTTGGATTAATTGACTACTGCTCATAGGACCTTGGAGATGCAAGTGAGTCAAATGGCCTCTGCCATGAATACTCGTGGGCAAGGTCAACTGCCAAGCAAGTCTGAAATCAACCCTCGTGAAAATTGTAGTGCTATCATGTTGAGAAGTGGGAAGCAGTTGGGTGACAAGGAGGAACCAAAGACTACTGAAGTAAATGTGACCACTGATAAGAAGAAAGAAGAGAGTAAAGAGAGTGATGAAGAAAAAGTGGAGATAGTGGAACAAGAAGAAGAAAAGATATATGTGCCACCACCGCTCAAACCTTATGTTCCACCAGTGCCTTTTCCACAGAGACTCCATATGACCAAGCAAGATAAGCTATTTGAGAAATTTCTGAAAATTTTAGGCAATTACATATTAACATTCCTTTTGCAGATGCTTTAGCTCAGATTCCTGCTTATGGGGAGTTCTTGAAGGAGATCATCTCCAACCGAAGGAAAGTGGAAGACTTTGAGATAATTGCATTATCTAAGGAGTGTGGTGCTGTTATTCAGAAGAAGTTGCCTCCATAATTGAGTGATCCAGGGAGTTTCTCTATTTTTATCTCTATGGGTGATGTTTGTTTTGATAAAGATTTATGTGATTTAGGTGCTAGTGTTTCATTGATGCCTTTATCTGTTTGTAGAAAGCTCGGGTTGAAACATTTGAAACCAACTAACATCACTTTGCAGTTAGCTGATGGGTCCATAACTCATCCGAAAGGGATTTTGGAAAACGTTCTAGTAAAAGTGAAGAAGTTTTATATCCCTGATGATTTTGTT